ATAGTTGGATTTTAGCAGGGCTTATAGTTTTAAATCGAGACCTCTAATTTCCAGCTTCAGCCATTTCCAGCTTCAGCTGCAACAAGTATTGTAAAAGAGGCTTAGTCAATGAACAGTAATGAAAAGATGGTGCATGAATATATAAAAAAAAAAAAGAATCTTAGAAAGTATATATAAGGCAGAAACTATTTAGAAAATAAAAAAATTTTGGAAAGCAGGTTGAAATTTCTTTTTTATTTGAATAAATAATAGGCTAGAGATCTTTTGTATAGTTGGTATCTAAATAGATGGATGAGAGCTATGAAAGCTCTTGAAATTTCTCTAAAAAAACTCTTTACTACAAATAACCACTTTGAAGAAATGAATAAATATTTAAAAAATAATTAATTAAATCAATTTCAAAGAAGTAATCATCTTCTCAAAGCTGATATACTTTATATTGCTCTGATATATGAAGTTATATCTAATATCTTAATATTACGAAGTCTTGCTATAGATCTTGAATGTAAAAAAGTAGAGCGACGAAAAGAACTTAATATAATAGATCCATCTGATCATAAAATTCTAATGCAGGAATTTTCACAAGTTGCTTATTTATCTCTAAGTATAAAATAGGATGAATCAGCAAAAAGACTACTTGAAATGAAAAAAGTAATTAAATTTGAAATTAAAACAACTAGTAAAATAATCTATATTGAGGTTGAATCTGAATCTTCCTCTAGGTTTATTTATACAACCTGTGTATATGGATGGTCAACAGATATTTGTTGTCAATATTTTGACTTTCTTCAAACTAGTATCTTGTATAAGTATCTTCATATCGCAGCTTTATATATTAATAAACTTCATAAACAAGAGCAGTATATGTATTTACCTGAAATAATCTTTCTAACTTACTAAGAAGCTCAAAAATTTATTATAGTTAATATGCTAACAGATCAGAAATACCAATAAGTTTTGAGAATAATAATGAGGATAATATATATAATAAGAATGAAAATATAGACAATAAAAGCAACAATTATGATAATAATGATAACAGTCTTATAACTACCCTATCTAAAGAAATTTTTAATTATATAGGACATATTCTTGGAATCAATGCTTCAGTAACATCGCCGTTTAATACACCTGAATTGACTGAGCCAATGTCTAATGAAACCAATATTAATATTTTAAATATTATCGCTATATGCAAACAAGAATTTAAAGAATTCTTAGAATTTATCTTAAGAAGTCTCCAAATATTGCAGGAAAATTTAATATTATTCCGGAGCCTAATCAAATCTGAACAATTGTCAGCACAAGAACTATATAATATGAATAATAATCATATCCTAATGACTCACTTTTGTGACCTTATTACTTCAAACTCTTTCAAAAAAGTACAAAATTTAGTAAATATAATATATAAGGACACAAACCCTCATAGATGTATAACTTCTGGTAATGATATCCTTTTTCTAAAACGAGAGAATAAACAAAAACGAAAACTGTTCTACAAAAACTAAATTATAGGATACAGTAAGAAAATAGGAAACATTAACTATATTCTTTATAGAGCTTCCTTATTTATTTGTAACTGCTATGTTGTGATATTTTTATTGCTATAAAAAAATATTTTTGTATGATTATATGCATGCTACACTTGTATACTGTATAAAAAATATAGCCAAGATCTTTGTATTTATAGCATATAAAGTAATAAATACTATCGCTAGTTCGCTAGAGTAAAAATATTCAATT